CTGCGTCGCAATTCAGATGCCCAAAAAGGAGCCCGCAAGTTTGAGAGACGCATAAAAGAGCTGACTTACCAGGTATGTTGGGGGCTGTGGTAACCACTAGGTCCCTGTAAAGAAACATGTCTTAAATAGCTTCAGTGTTCCAGTGAAGGATGGCATTACCCAGAGGTTTCTGATTACAACCAAAGTTTTAGGCATAGGAGAAATATCTCCCTAGGGCTACTGTCAGAGAAGCATAGAATGGTTGGGGTTTGGAAGGGGCCTTAAAGATCATCTCATTCCAACCTCCCCATCACAGGCAGGGACACTTTCCACTACACCAGGCTGCTCAGGCTCCATCCAGCCTGGCCTTAAACACTACTTCCAGGGATGGGGCATCCACAGCTTCTCTGGGCATCTTGTTCCAGTAATCATCATCGTCTTCCCTGATTTGTTGTAACTAGTGTTAGAAAGCCTCTGCCGCTGGGAATTTGGAGAGTTTTAGTACAGCATTAATATGAAGCAGGCTTCCATGACTATTCACAATGCAAGGCAAGAAAGAGCCCAGCTGTCTCTCAGCAGTGCCACTGTTGCCAAAGGGAGCCAGAAGGACTCTGCTGACTGTAATGCACCACTCAGTGTAGGGTTGCTCAGTCCCAGAACCTCGTCACCTATTGCTGAGCAGCAAGGCCTAGTCTTGAGCCTCCTGCGCGTTTGCTAACAGCTGCTGTTTTGAAAAAGGCCTGCAGCGCAGAGCACTGATCCTTTTGTTTCCAAAAGCATTCTTAAGAAGATAAACCCATCCATCTGCTTTAGATTATTTAGCCTCCTACTAGTTTTACTTTGACTTTTGTATGCAGAAGCTGAAGGTTGTTTTCTTAGAATACAGTGAGCCAGCAGAATTAGCTGGTCCTTCTGCTTATTGAGTGTGACAGCTGAAACCTGGCTCCTTTTGCCAGAAATGCCTCCAAACCAGACTTCAAATTATGCAAATTACAGTTTTAGACTATTCCATAAATCTGTTTCACTATATCACAGCACGCTTTATAATGACCAGAGTGTTCCTCATTCCTGAGTGAGGAACTCTGGGTGTGTGTATGTGTACACTTCTGACAGTGTGTGCACATATGTATCTGTGTTTATTTGTATCTATATTTACATGTATATAAATGTAGAGGGTACTCTCTTCAGTCCTCCACGCTTACACACATCTTCAATGAACCTACAGAGTATTTTCTCATCTGTATACAGAAGGATCACAACATGGCTAGTTTGTGTTTTGAGTTATAAGTTTCTAAAATATGCATGGCATCTATACTTCGTGCATTGTGGGAGATGCTCTAGGCCTTTTTACTCCAACAGCCCAACTAATAGTGTTTTGATACAGTCAGAAGAAGATAAGAAGAATCTTGCCAGGATGCAGGATCTGATTGACAAGCTACAATTAAAAGTGAAGAGTTACAAGCACCAAGCAGAGGAAGCTGTAAGTAACTATTTGGGCCTTTTTACCTGTGAGAGATTTATTGTTCTAAACCCACAGTCTTTTACCCATAGAAGCTTCTAGCACAAATACATGCTTTTTGTGCATTAATATTTTTATTTCATATAAACCCCAATATATAAAACTGTATTTATATTTCATGTAAAATAAACCATTTGGCATATTTGTTGATTATAGTTAAGATATTCAATTTTATCTTATGATTGCAGTATAATTTGCAAGGGAAGGGGGGAAGGGAAAGAACAGGAAAGACTTTTTTTCCTCCTAGCCCCTCAGAAAGCACATTGAGAGCATCACAGTTCAGCTAAAATGGAGAATGCCACTGGAAACATTAGCTCTGTAAAACAACAATCTCAGTTCTCCAGGAAGCAAGTGGTCCCCATATGGCTGTTAGCTCATCACACTGAGCACTTTCCACCCCACTTCAAATGAAAAGCTTTGTTTCATGTGGACAGGAGGAAATCAGCTGCACTGTTTTTTCTCACCAGGAAGCTCAAGCCAATCTGTACCTCTCGAAGTACAGAAAACAGCAACATGATCTGGATGATGCTGAAGAAAGGGCTGAAATAGCTGAATCTCAGGTTAATAAGCTGAGGAGCAAGTCAAGGGATATCGGCATGAAAAAGGTACAGTAATACTGTGTGGGGTAAATGAGACTATTTAATACACAGTAGTGGATGCTATGTATCTGTTACATCTCTAAAAATAGCATAGACAGGAATAAATTCTTGTTTACCATATTTTTTTAGTTTCAGTCTACCCCTTAACATTCAGATAACCCTTTAGGACAGCAATCTGACACTTAGACAAAATATATTCTCTGTCCTTTTGATGGTGTCATTTAATCTCTGTGCTCAGCAGCAGAAGGTGGGTTTATTATGGTTGGTTTTTTGAGTTTTTCTTTTTCAAGGAATATTAAAAGACTCCACCTTTTCCTCCCTCTGTTGATGCAGCTTTCTATGTATGTAATACAGCCTGGGGGTTACCACATTAGCAGATTGCCAGATATTTTAACATTGCTCTTTTAATGAACTTGTATTGATTTGAAGAGCTGGACAAAAATAAAATGTTACTGATTAGTCACCTACCTGCTGGGAAGTCATTAGTTACTAGAAATATCTTTGTGGTGTTTTGCAGTTGATATGAATGGTAGCAGAACAATGTTGATGAACCTAAAAGGTACCTAAGCTCTTGGTCTGGAACTGAAAGCAAACTTCTGCTTATCTATGCTTGCCTTGTGGCAAAAAAGAGTAGGGTTCTTACTTCTAGGAATGACAGAAAGAGGAGCTGGCTCATTGCTTTATCTCTTTCATTTGGAAGGGAAACATAAACTTTCATGCTTAACATCATTTAAGTTTTATGGGGATAACAACTCCTGAGTTAAAAAAGAGGTGAAAAAACCCCTTTCTCTATAATTTTGGTATTTTTATCACATGTGAGTCCAACACTCCCCTCTTCTCTTCTGTAGCCACCATTCTATGGCAGGGAACACTTTAACTTCTGATTTCGTATTGGACTAACAGAGTCACCTTTGACTGATATAAATGACTGTTGCTCCACCATCTAGAGCACAGCTACATTAAAACTACATGAATATCTGGTCTCTCACACATTTACAGATGGTGGAAGCAGTACTGTAACTGAAGCTCAAAAGAAGATTTGCAGCTTTTAAGAGTAAAAAATTTCCATAGATTTTTCTTTAAATCATTCCAGCCCTACAAAAAAAAAAAAAAGAAAACTCATAGATTCACATATGATGCCATGGCATCATACCAACACCATACCTATTTAGGTAAACCATAAGAATAAATTATTTTTGTAAATACTGTTAAGATTGCTGTTTATTCCCTGTATCTTAGTAGTACCCTCTTTCTGCCTCAAATATGCAGAAGTCATAGAACAGTGGATGTCTGGTTTTATTAGTCAGATGCTATTTGCCAACACCAAATCCAGCTCTGGTTTACAGCAGTGTTGCACTGCCAAAAGATGAGCTCAACAGTGCACGTAGTGGTGTCAGCTCCACAAAAAGAGTTTCGTGGCAGTAGCAGCAATAGCTGCCAGGAAACATGTTCAGGCAGTGAGTGTTGTCCCAAAAGTCATGACACATCTTTGGGGAGAGAAAGGCACTGTAGAGACTACTCTAATCATGTAGCATTAAAAATACCTTGTCTGCTGCTACTAGTATCCACTATCCTGGAAATGCCATCTATTGAAACAGGGTTGTATAGAAGTCCTCTGCTCTCAAAGGGATATATATAATCTAGAATCAGGACAAGAGAGCTGTATTGTTAGCAAAGGTTGGCTAGATTGCTGCTACCCTATTTCAGATACAAACTGAAAATACCAGGAAGTAGAAGCATTAGTAAATAGAAGCTTTTTGTCATTTACTTGTGAATTTACCCTAAAACCCCTCGACACTTCCATTTTCTTTTTAACAGTCACATACTATCTCAATTGCATTTCAGGTTCATGAAGAGGAGTAAGTTCACTCCAAGCTGGCAGAAATGAGAAGATACTTGATATAATCAGGCACAACTGAAAGCAGATGTAGAAAAAAAAAAAGCACTTACAGAAATAAACATCAAGTGAAAATCCAAACAGACTTTATAGCATATTTCATTCATTTATTTGTGTTTCTATTTTGCCAAGCCTCAGGGATCAATAAAAGATTACATCTTGCCAGCAGCCCACTTCATTATGCTGGAACAAATCCTAATTGGTAGATCTCTGACAAAATCAAAACCAAGGGCAAATCCAGTAATGCTTCACAGCCTCATGTATGCCATACGCAGATTGCTAAAGTAGCTGTTGTTTCTGGGGTGCCATGTCCCCACAGGACTTGACTTTCAAGGCCCAAGAAAGTGTTCTGGGCAGTGGAGTGAGGTGCAGGGTGCATCTCCAGCCATCCAGTGGTTCTCTCCACCACTGTCAGCACACAGCGCTTGCCTTGGTGGGTTTGCAGGAGAACCTTTGACATCTTCTAAGATGTTAAGGCTGCCTGTTATGTCAGCACAGGTGGATCCATTATGGCCATGGCAGAGATGAATATCTTCAGGCCATGTGCGTGATTTGTCCTGATGCCTCCCCAAGCTCAAGCTTGGAGTTATCACAGATGAGTCGTCTGCGTGAGGACAAAGAAACACCCAGCTCTGTAGCCTGAGGTGGCAGGTGTACACACCTGGATTGTCTGAGTCATCAGCATTCCAGTCTTTTCACAATTGTGGATACATTCTTCTCCTAGGATAATAGAGTACCCCCTTAAGTCCCTCCCCACAGTCTAAATTAGTAGGCATATTTGGGGAAAAGAGAGAAGGTGGATACCAGAGTCTTTGTGTAACCCAGGACAAATACTAAATGAAATGAAAAACAGTAAGCCTTCTCTTTCCCTAACACTGAAAAAAAAAATCCCTCAAAACTTAGAGATTTCTTCTTCTGTGGAAAATTCTTTGTTCCTTCGGGAAACCCAAGTTCCAATCTTTCATGCCAGCTTCTTGAATACAAGCGTCAATTGACTTTTTTTTCCCCTCCTATCACTTCCTTTGTTTCTTACTGTTGCTCAGAGAATCACATTTCCATGTGCCCCTCTTGCTGTAACTGAAAGGGGAAGGTGAAGGAACTCTGTTCATCAACAATTTCAATTGCACCTGTGCGCAGAGAAGCATTTTTCTTCTGGTACCTTATGGTGCTCACAGGATTCCTGTCCTTCTGCATTTCTAGGCAAAACAAAAATGCTTGTAAGAACTACTGAAGTGTAAAATTAATCCCCTAGTGGGAACAGAACTAGACACACTCACTGTAAAGGTAAGTTAGCATTTTCCATTTTAACATTATCTGAATAAAATAAGCATCTACATAACAGTGCAGAAACATTCCTGTTTCTTCCATCTAGTCCTTCATCCATGGAACCAGAGCTGAGTTACCCTGTAAACTGTTCCACTTCCTCTGATTATGATATGTTCAAGGTCTCAATAGGTCCCAAGATAAATTAATCTTGCTTAAATTCTTTAGAGAGCTGCATCGCAAGAGTATATTATCATCTCTAAAGCATGTTAGCATTAAAATTGACTAAAAAGCATGTAAGTGAATCTGTGAGAGAAACATGAAAAAAGACAGGCATAATCATGTGTTCTTGCTCAACCTCATGGTAACCATCATCAAATGCCTGCTGAAGCATACCAAATTCAGACTGTGACAAAAACCCAGGGAGTTTGGAGGTATATCTCTCCATGGATAGGGCTGTACTGTCAGGCACAGAAAGATGGACTAATAATGAAAGTTTGGTTTTTTTAAGGATACTCACAACAAATGCAGAGGAAAAAGACAGAATATTCTGAGACAGAGCCATCCTATAACAAATGCATGAGAATAAAATGCATCCACTTGAAGATGCTGTACTCCAGTAAATAGGAGAGATGTGCAAAGATATGAGATTAGGGACCATATGGTTATAACAGTCTCCCAAACAAAGCAACGCAGTATAACTTTTCAAACTGAGGTTTTTATGAGCTTTGACATTGGATACAATTGAAATAGTAATCTGGGCCCTAATGAGGACTCTGTACGTGAATTGTTTGAGGGACTTTTTGCTTTGGTTTGGGTTTTCTTTGGTTTTAAACACAAGTGAGAAAATTCACCAGCTTGATTGTTCTTAAAGCAAGTTACCGGAAAGTATTTGTGAGGGGTAACCTTTCCCCCAGTGACTGCTCAGTTCTGCTGACTTCACTCCTGGTGGCTCCTATCCCGCCAGCCCAATCAGCCCTGAGATTGTCTTCCCTGTCTCTTAAAACAAAAGATTATCCTAACTCATGATGCTCACACTGCAACTGCTTAATCATAACTGTCAAGCTATAGCTACTGATTAACAACTTTATAAAAAGTTGCAAAGTTTGACTCAAACCCCTACACAAATCTTGAGGGGCTCAGTATGAATAGTACCTTAAAAAAATACTCTAATGATTGTACATACCTTGCTCCAAAGACAGTATGCTGCTACCAGTACTGCTGCAAGTCCTAAGAGCACTGCTCCTACCACTGCTGGCACAATATTCCAGGTGTTACCTGAATTTTTTTAAAAATAAAAATTCCAAAAAGTTTAACAGAAGTGCTTTATATCACAAATTAATGTTCACTATTCAATAACTATATCAAAGCAATGATTTTTCTTATTTATAATCTAAAAGCTATGATTTAGGGAGAAAGAAACATTAAAAGGAAACAAAGACAACAATGTTCAAGCCATTTGACTCATACTGTAGGACTTTAAAGTGATACTTTACTGAGTTAAAATTGAATAGCCTAAAGCACATTATTTTACTTAATTGTTCCGATAAAGAATTCCATTTGTGCTTATGTGATATGATTTGATGACTTCTTAACAGTAGTCCCATTTAAAACCAACCAGCTGCCCAGTATATTAAACACTGTCTCCAGGCACGGTGCTCAGTGCCATTAATGGCACTGCTGATTTCCAGTAGAGCAACTCTGGAAATGTTATCCAGCCTGGACCACAGATTTCATGACTTCTGTTGCAAAATCTTTACAACTTTAATCTAAAACATTTCCCAGCTTCTTAATGCGACCATGCAATCCAGGTGGACATGAGAAATCCTGAGGTGGGTGGTAACAATGGATTCCACAATTGCCCATCTAGCCCAAACCTCTGCGTGGCACCAAACTGTCAGAAGAGCTGTATGGTTCTTCTGCTTCAGGCTACCTTTCCACTGCTGTGTTTAGTCCAAAGAATTTGAAAAATTCTACACTTCTCTGGAAATAATTAATAAACGAGAGCTGCCAAAACAGAGCATTTAACCTAGTCATTGCCTTTAGTTTGACTCTGTATCCACATCTTGTCAGTTCCTTTGGTAGAGCAGCTTTAAGCTGCAACCCTTCCTCACACAGGACAGACTCTCTTAAATGATTGTATATTCATCTTTCTTTTCCCCTTAAAAGCCTTCTTTCCAGTGACACTTGGAAATCCTCCTGATGCTTGAGCAGCTGCTGTGCCATGACTGCTCTGCAACATAGTGACCTGTCTTGTTCCCTTCCACCCTGCTGTCTATCCGCTTATCTGCTTTCTGCCTATGCTGCCACAAAGGTGCCAATCTCTCTGGTAAGTGTCTTCTCTGTACTGTATAATGTATTTCTGGTCCAAGAGCAGGAAGATTCTGTGAGCAGCACAGTAATTTCGCCACTAAAGAGGGGATTTGTATCACCTGTGGCTATTGTAAGATCCATCTGTAGAGAGCAGCTAGAGAAAGGCATTTGTAGGGGATGACTGATCATATTTGGACTGTCTCTGTAAACATACAGGGAGACTGATGGACTTGTGCACGTAACTTAGGAGAGCCAGTTAAATGTGTGACTCCTTGGAGGTGTTCAATGCTCTCCACTTCAGAAGCACAATATTAGGTTTACAGGATAAGGAAGATCATGCTGGAATCTGATCTGTAGGGAAGTATGTTTGGCTGACTTAAATGTTTTCTTTAATCTAACTCCCCTCCTTCAGGTTGTGTATACCCACAGCCATTTAAAACTTCAAGTTTTCAGAAGGAAACTAAGCTATCATGGGGGAGGGGGAAGAAAGGAAGACAAAAAGAGGCAGCTATTATCACTTATTCTAGCCCCTTTTCTCTTGTGTTGCCACTATTTTTCATGTCCTGGCTTGTTTCAAATTCTCTTCTTTCTTAAAAAACACCAATGAGGTGCCCTGTATTAGTTCTCAGTCTTTTAGGTGATTGTATTTAATTGTGTAAAATTAAAGTAGCCCGTGTGCTACTGTTGTTTTATGTGCTACTGACAAAGAAAAAACTGTAACTAAGACTTCACAGCTGGAAATTTACTACAGTTCATAAAAACACAGGCATGCATTTAAACATATATATACCCAGGCCTAAAAGAGGCCCACAGTATAGAATTAAAGTTTTGAAAATAGCAACTGTGTGTTCTCTTCAATCAGGTTTCTTCTGCAGGCAAACTTATACCACATCTTCGGGCTTCTCATCATCCCTCTGCCACCTTTAAAGCCACATTTGCTGTAAGCAGAACATTTAGGACAGGATTCTAGGAGTCCCCCTGTCCCCTCAGCTCTGAGGGCAGTTGGTGGCAACCAAAGGCAGCCACCAATTTTGAGACCTTGGCCACAAAAAAGCTGCTGACTGAAAAATAAGAAATTTCTATTCTCTAAATAAAAACATCTTAGCTAACCTTTTTTTTGCCTGGGACAACAATAATAATATATCTCTTCTACCCAACTGTCCCAATTACACAAGATGATTTTTCTTAGTATTTTACAGATTTCTGATTGACTCTTTGGCTGTGCATGACCCTACATGGTCCTCATCCTCTGAAATAAAAGGAGTGGCAACTTACCAACTTGCAAAGTTGTCACAATAACTTTTGTGTAGTGAGGTGTTGAAATATTACACAGATATTCTCCACTGTCAGCTGCAGTAAGATGATGCAGGATCAGTGAAAAGTCACTTCTGTTTATCTGGGCTCGAGGCTGGTAAGAGTGGGATGTCCCATTGAAGGAGGCCACGACTGAAGTCACTGAATTCCTGTTCAGTTTCCAAACAACACAGACACCTTCAGTGTTTGCAGTGTTACTGCTGCATTCACAAGGAATTATGGTGTCACTTCCTTCTGTATTAGACAGTTGGTCTGAAACAGATAATTAAAGAACTCTCTGCAGGTTATTTTGAAAATACTCTGAAGGTTATTTAGACATATTTTGATTTTTTTATGAGGTCTAATCTGGATCCCTTTCCCCACCCTCGACGTGGGGCGGCCCAGTTCTAGTTCCATTTCCATCTGAAGAACCATTGCGATGCTTTGAAGGATGGGGAAAGGGGACTCCAGGGGTTTCTCAGGGGTCTTTTCAGGTCCTGAGCCTGGAGGGGAGAGGTGCTCCCCCTTCCCCCCCCCCCACAGGCAGGGAGACAGGACACCGGGCGTGGAGAGGAGGCAAGAGAGCGTTTATTGTTGGGGATGTTACATTTATAGGGTTTAGGAGGATTCACAGAGTAACCAATTAGAAGTCTCAAGGGGTTTACAGGAACACCCAATCACAGGAAGAGGTTAACAAAGGCCAATGGGAAACACCTCAGGACACCTTCCCAGGACATTCCTGCATGGATAACATGGGGGGTGCTGGGAAGAAGAAGCATGTGTTTGCAAAGAGACTACCAAAAGCCATTTTAAAGCCTGTTTAAACCACAGTTTTCCCATATAATGCAGGTTTAGTGCTACAGTCTAATACTACCACGGACAAATATAAAAACACAGTTCACTACTTTGATATCATATTCAAACATCACAGAATGTTTCTAGAAGCATCTGAAGATTTTAAAAACAAACCTACCTTACACTAAAAAAAACTCTAATTGGTATTGGCAATACTTAAAAAAATTCTTTCTTTTTCATTTGACTATTTCTCCTCTAATTGGGGGGCTCATTAATAGAAGTGATTCAGTCTAGTCTTAGTTACTGTGTAAAGTAGCATGAAATCCCACATGCTGGGAGCAGAGAGAAAATGCAACTAATAAGATACTTGCACATTTAAAGCAAAAGGATAAAACTCTTACAACATAATTTAATAAAAGAATAAAAAGATTGTATTTAGTTAGAAATAGCTTTCAGCTACAGTGGACTTAAGTATTTTACTTATCTATGCTGAACATTTAACAGTTAATGAATAGTTTTAAAAAAATAAGAAGGGGAAGGAGAAGGCAAGTAAGTGGAAGGAATACTTAAATTATAAAATATTAAGATAAGACAAACTAGCATCATATTACAACTATCAATTTAACAGTAGGAATTTTCTGCCAAGAAAGGAAAACCAGAGGAGGCTGTGGTGGCTGGCAGTCAGCTGGAGAGGAAGCTAATACATTATTTTGACGTGGTATAACCATGCTTGGTTTCTGTGTATAGGGCTGAACAAAGAGAGGTGTAGGGCAGAAAATCATAAAGACAAACCAAAACAAAACTGTACCCCACACTGCTATTACAGAAGGAAAAGTAAAGCAGTTTGCTTCCAAGATGTTCTACTGAGGGGATAGATGGATGCAGGGAAACTCAAAAGTGTAACCAAATGTAGCTTTTTCTCTTGTGGATCAGAGGTATAGATTAACAAAACAAACACACTGCAATTATTAGCTACTATGATGCCATACTTGAAACTCTCCATATTGTAAGCCATTCTATGTATTAAAAACTGCGCTCTTGTTCTGCAGCACATGCAGTGGATTAGGAACTGAGAGCATCTGTGTATGTTAGGGGGAAATCAGGGTGATGGAAGCAGCCATGCACATCTCACAGGGGAACTGCTCTTGTACTGCTCTTCATCCAATTAAAAAATATTTCCTAAGACACAGGAGAGGTTGAAAAGAACCATTTATTTACTCAAACTGAATTTCCAATGAAATTCAGGAGGAGGACAAAACAGAGAGTTGAAATTTCATAGTCCTGATTTTTCTTAACTAACAAAATGAGCTGCTGTTTGCTAAAATGCAGTGTTTGCTGCTCTCAGCCCAGCACTCAAACTGGCACCTAAGAATGCATGTACAGTGGAAGGATCAAACAGTACTGATAAAAGTCTGGCAAAAGATGGGAAATGGACTGAGTAAGGACCATATGCATCTAGAGCAGCAGGCAAACTTTCATATAACCCACATATTCCACATAAGGTTTCCGTGTATTTTGTCCAAGTTCATTGTTTCCTTGCTGGAGTGTACCTCTTAAAAGGTACCTCTTAAAATGTGAAACTGATATGGAAGAAATATTCAGAGTAAAAGTAACTTAGAGAAGGGTGAGCTAGCCCCTCTCATTTCTACTTCTTGGATATAAATTGTAATGCTGCCTTGTAATCCTAATAGATGAGTTTCAAAGAGAAAGGTATATCCTTTTGCACTATCCCATGTTGCCCCACTGTAGAAATACTGTCTTCAGTTTGGCTCTGAAGCCAACAGCTGTCTTCAGCTGTGACATTTAGTAATGATGCAGGAAGAGACTTCCATTCATTCTTACCTTGCATCTTCCATTCAGCAATCCAGTTTAAACGATGGACATGAATATGACAGTAGTAAGGATCTGCTCCTGTGTTTATAATGTTCTGGTCACTTCTAAGAGAATAGAGAACTCCATCCCTGGTTTCCTCACGATCTATTTCTTGGATGGATACGTTGCCTTGTACCCAAGATATGTTTGGTGCTGGATAAGTGAGAAAGGCATAACACTTCAGTTTCCTTTCTGTGTCTGTCTTTTCGTATTCCAGTGCATAATAAGAGGAAACTGTAGATGAAAAAAAAAGTTTAAAAAAATAAATCTTACTACTTTCAAAATAGTTTTTAACTTGAAGTGATTGCTCTTGTGAAATAACATTGGGGAGAATAATTAGAACAACACTTAATGTGTGTTTGGTTTCAGAAGAAAGCATATTGACTTACTGTCAATGCCAGGGTCTATACTATTCCGAGAAGCCACATAATGTGTACCACCTAATAACCCCTTAGAAATCACTGTGCAGTAGGTTATGAAAACAACTGCTGCACTGTAATTTTTCAACTCATGTTACAGTGTTTCACTAGAGTAAACAAATTGCTTCATAACACCATCAGGCCCAAAACGTGCTCTGTTGGGTTGGAGGATTTTGATTCCATGTAAGAAATAACACGAGAAAATCATCCCATTTCCACTGGTGCAATCCAAGCATTTTTGATGTCTTACTGACCTTTTACACGTAGTGTGACGTTCCAGGTTGTATGAGTTTTCTTTGTTCCCACATAACATTCATAAGTGCCCTCATCAGTCACGGTCAGGTTACAAATTTTCAAGGAGGCATTTCCACTAGTGATGTTCTCATGGAAAAGCTGTGTTCTGTTAATGTATTCTGAGCTATCTGCCGGTTGATCCTTCTGGTGGTAGTAGGAGTGCACAGTTTTTCCACCTTTACTCCAGTGAATTACAACATCATCCCCCCATGGGAAAGAACAAGGAAGGATGCAATCCTCAGAAAATAGCCCTGTAACTTCTTCCTGTTCTGTAAAACCTAAAGTCCATAAGAACAAATGAGTAAGTTTAATCCAGTCTACAAGTATATTTTTGCCGTTCCTTATCCCTGACAAAAAAACCCAAAACCTCTTGCAGGCAGCACTACCCAGTGTGTCAAGGTCTCTTTCATGGCTTTTCTGTTGCATGAGTCCCTTGAGACAGCAAGGGTCTTCATTCAGTTTAATCAATATTATAACACAGAGCTCTGGTCTTTAAACTTACAATCAGTTTACGTAGAAATCCTGAGTAAGCACCTACATGTTCAAATCAGCACACTGCCACCTCACCACCTGAGCTTCAAATGTTTTTCCACACCTTTTCCACCTTGAACTTCAAACCCTTCTGAGCTGCAGCTTGCTGCTTCCTCATACCTTCACAGTGCCATGCTGCAGTGACCCACGTTACCCATCACCCTCACATGGTGCCAAGCAGTTGTACCATCACAGGGAAAAAGGACGTGATGGTGTAACTGGCAGTGAGGACAGAACTTCTTGAAACAACTTTGCCACCACAGACAGGGAGCTCTGTCCCAGCCCCCAGAGATAACTCGGGTGTGCATTCCTCGCACGTTCCTCGATTCTTTACCGTTAATGAACTGTGTTTGAATTAATTAATTCTCCCTATTAGAAATAAGTAATAATTGTTGTCTTTATTATTTTTCAGCTAAAACTCACCCCAAAGTGTAGCACTGATGTAAAATAAATAGATGGTAAGAGTTGGTATGTTCTGTCCCTTCATGTCTTCACTGGTTCGTAGTAGACTCATGTCGAACTTGTAACATAAAAGAAGGGGAGAAAACTTGTTTAAAGGCAGGTAAAAGACATACCATGATGATATCATTTCCTTTGTACATCTTATTAGGACCTGTAGGCCTTTGTACCATGTTTTTCGTTTCCAACAGTCTCGGCCCAGATTTTTGGCCTTCTGATCCTATGCATTTCATAATGGCTGAGGGCCTCTCATTACCTTGCAGTCCCTTGCAGATTGATATTTCATTTGTAATAAATAGAAAGTGTTTACTCTCAGTGTTCTTGCAGGGCTAGGGAATATTAATCTTCATTGTTCCTAAACAGGACACAAAGGAAAAATGCTCAAGTACAATTTGCAAAAGGATGTAATATGTCCCTTGTCAAGCATGATTTTTTTTTTTTACTTAAAATATATTTCTGATTACTACCACATTGACTTTCTTGGATGGGAAATTTGACTGTATTTGCAAATATTGCAGATATAGAGAACTTTTCACACTTTACTTTTCACCAGATCAAAAGGGCATCAGCTGAACTTTCAAAAATGTGCATATAGAAGTGTAGGATAGGAATGCAAAGGAGGAGGAGAGTCTCTCATCATATCTTCTGATTTGTCACTTAAATAGCAATTAACTGAAGGCTCTCATGCATAATAGAAAAAGAATAATCTTATTGTAACTGATAAACTGCACTCTTCCTCCATTCAGGCATAACATCCTAAAATACAGCATACCACAGTGGAGAAATTACCTCATTAATCAAATAGCTTGAAAAGAGTTTAAAGAGTTTTCCCTAGTCCTTTTCTTCTGTCCAAAAGGCAGCTATAGGTACCATTCCTACTTACACAGGGCACAGGTTTAGACAGGCTTGCTACCCAGTTCTTTTAATATTAATGAGTGATTTTGACTGGGGTGTGTGAGACTGCATTTGTGGTGAAAGTAAATCTTACATCCCAATGATTTTCGCATGTTATTTCTTTTGTAAAGCTAGAGTGATTGTTTTACATATTCTCACTATTCATTAGGAGAAAAAACCAAACCAAACCAAAAATAACAAAGAGGCACCAAGATATTAAATCTGAGACAGAGGTGACACAAGAGTAAACCAAACATTTATGATATATAACTTTGCTCCATGTCAGCAACAACTGCCAGTATCCACCTTCTTTTCTCCTTCCATTTGCAAGTGGTGTACATCATGTTTCATTGGATTCTTTACTCATTTGTCCATCACTTCCAACTTGTGATTGATACAGCATACTGTGCTTGATGTTTGAATTTCAAAAACTGCAATCAATGCTATATTTCCCTTAGTGAGTGATGTGCCACGTTTAATAGACAGTCACATTTAATTGGCAGTGGTGCTCTCAGAGTAAAGTGGTTCCAACAGTACCTCTGTGATGCCTTTGGGGGCTGCATGGGCAGCGCACACTGCCTCCCATCTTCTACCTGTACTCGATAACCCTGCTCTAAAATACAGAACTACAACCAGTCAGCTGAAAATTTTCATGTTCAGCACAAATCTTAGCTTTGCACCATGTTGAGAAACGTGTTTGTTGGTCTGTAGAAAAACCCAAGGAGTGTAGGTTCTGGCCCGTCTTTTCAGTCGGTCTGGGGTCTTAAAGGCATAAAGTGTGTGTATGATAATAGTTACAGTCACACTACAAAATACTCTACAAATATGCTTTTCCTGTTTGTTACACTAAACAAATGGTACAACCACGAAATTGTGCCCTAAGGCTTTGCAGTGAAATATGAAATTATGTATACAGACAGTGTACAACTAGAATTAAGATCACTGTAGTCATGTTAGTTACTGATGCTCTAGTTTCCAGGAGAATTATTTCATACAGAATCACCACAGTCTCAACTGGTGAGCAGCTCAGCCAGGGTTTCTCAGAGCAAGCCAAGGTGCTAAAATGCATCTCCCAAGACATATTGAACAGCTCAAATAGTGGTAGGGCCACTGGGCCATTTGCTTTGGCCACTATAGGGAAAGAACACATGCTTTCCTTTTCTTCTGTTAGACAGTGACCAAACCACGTATCCTAAATCTTTCCTCCTCTTCGAACTCTCAATCTGAAACCAGGTAAGACCACTCCCCTAGCAAAGAGCAATCAGCTCAGTGAACTTTACTCTGCGACCTACTTTGAGAGCAGATATATAAAAATATTCTTCTATCCCTGTCAAACAAAATTTATTTATTTCTTAGTAAAACTGATTCTGACTAATTCCTTTTCAAGGTAACTAAAGAACACCACATTTCAAGCACACACACTTATGAGGACTGGAAATACCAAAGGATTTCAATCTTTACCAACAAGCAAACAAGAAAAACAAACGTGCAAAGTTCTAAAAAGCACATGTTAATCACATACTGCCAAAATCTCATACCTGCCATAATGACACTAGCTTTTCAGGATTTCCTCACTGACTCTTCAGAGGCATTTTCTGTAGTGGAAAAGAGAAATAATTCTCTATCTCCCTCCAATGAAACTCTTACAATTTAAATATTAACTTCATACTTCATTTGTTGAGAAATATTCCCAATGGAAGAAGGTTCTCACAATCTAAACATTCAAAACTGTTTTAGGAAGTAGACCAAAAATACTTTATATTAGTTCAATATACACATATCATATTCTCACCCTCCCCCACTCCATACACTTACATTATGGAGTTCTCATACCTCTTCTTATTTCACAAGCAGCCAAAAATCAAAGTCGCCTTGCAGTTACTAGCAGGCAGGGTTGGTATATATAAAAAACCAAATATACAGCACTCCCTGTTGATCTTTGCCTCATACACATGGCACAGTTCATTCCTTTCCCATAAAGGAAAGCAGTTGTTTCTGCAATGCAAACTAAGTTTCTATACATGTGAAGCTTTCACACTTTTCGAGTTCCTTTCTCCCTCTTTGGAACTAAAAGTCTTTTTCTCTTAACCATTTCTTTTGCCTGGCTTTGTTGAACAAACCCTTTAATTTTAACTCCTGCAAGATGCAACTGAGAAGAAATCAGTTCTCATCAGTAATGTGATACCCACAGCAGTGGCCATGCCACTTGGGAATGTGCTGGGGCATCCAGAGAGCCAGAGCACCACAGCAGCAGCGAGACCGACAATTTCCTTACAGTGCCAGAACAATGTCATGGGGAGCGAGGTCAGCTCTGAGTAGGCACAGGAAAACAAGAATATAAGAGTGAAATCATCATGATACTCTTCTCAGAAAGCTGGTAATGTGAAACAAGAGGTGGGTGCCTTGGGTTGCCTGCAGGGTTAGGTGATTATTTTCTAACAATATTTCCCTAGTGCTCCTTTTTCTCTGGACAGCTCAAGCCCTGCGTGTGCTATCTGGTTTCCAGCAGAAGAAACGCAATGACTCAAGTATTTTCGGGAAGAGGGCTTACAAAAAACCCAAACAAAACACAGGAAGAAGTTGGAAGAAGAGGTGTCTCTCTTCAAAGGCCTTGTCTGGTGTTAGCAGTACACAGGTGAGGTGTGTTTCCTACATTCATTGAATACAGAGTCATTTAGGTTGGAAAAGACCTCTGAGATCATCAAGTCCAACCTTTGACTGATCACCACCTAGTGAATAAGGTGCCACAACCAGTCGTTTCTTGAACGCCTCCAGCGATGGTAACTCCACCACCTCCCTGGGCAGCCCGTTCCAATGCTTGGCAACACTTTCTGTGAATTCCTCTGAATGTCCAACCTAAACCTCCTCTTGTGCAGCTTGAGGCTGTGTCCTCATGTCCTGGGAGAACTAGTCGCCTGGGAGAACTCACTGACCCCCACCCGGCTACAACCTTCTTTCAGGGAGTTGTAGAGAGTGAAGAGGTCTCCCTGAGCTTTCTCTTCTCCAGGCTAAGCCCCCTCAGCTCCTCCAGCTGCTCCAGGCCCTTCCCCAGCTCTGCCGCCCTTCTCTGGGCACACTCCAGCACCTCAGTGTCCCTCCAGAACTGAGGGGTCCAGAACGTGACACAGCACTCCAAGTGCCTCACCAGCGCCAAGCACATTCCCGGGAGCCCCGGTTTTCCCACCCGTTCCCTTCCCCACCGCCCCACGGCGCTTCCAGCCGGCGATCGCAGCTGGTCTCCCGCTACAGCTCCTCAGCTCCCAGGACTTACTCTTCCACACATCCAGCTGCACAGTACGGCACCTCAGGCCACGAGGCGCTGCTCGCCCTGCGCCGGCACCGTGTGAGGCACTCGGGAGTTTGTGTTATACTGGGACAGACAAGCCTCAGTCACATGAGACCGCGCCGACCCCGCCACAGCCACCCGAGCATACACCTTTGCCAAATATCGGGTGGGCGGGGTTACTGTGCCCCGTGCGCGCTGATTGGTCCAGGGCGTGACCGGGACCCGGTTGCCCTGGGTTACGTGCAACCAAGATGGCGGAGGAGGCCGGGGTGGGCCGGAGAGGGGAGCGGTCGGCGGAAGAGGGGCCGGCGGAGCGCGGCCCCGGCGCGGCCTTTCACATGTTCGTGCTCATGGAGGACCTGCTGGACAAGCTGAAGCTGCTGAGCTACGAGGAGGAGGCGCTGAGGCGCCACAACATGCGGCCGCTCTCCAGGTGCTCCTGGCCCGCGCCGCCTCCTCCGGGCGCTCGCGCGGCAGCGGGAGGGGTCGGCGGGGGAGAAATCCCAGCGGGCGGTCAGAGCCCAGGGAAGGAAGGAGGGCAGGTCCCGGCTGGCAGGTCCAGCCAGGTCCTGGCTCAAGGCAAAACCTGCCAGAGGCACAGCTTCCCGTGTCATTTGGAAGCTTTCCAAACGCCGAAGGCTGAGATGTGATAAGTAAATAGCATTTGACCTTCCCTGCCCCCGACAGGTACTGGATAGCTGCATGCCAAGGTAGCTGTGCAAAAATCAGTTCTACCTAAATTCTAAATAATTCTAAATAATTCTGAGTTTCTTGAATTCAGAGTAACTATTTGTGGGGAGTGTATATTTTTTGACCTTTTACAAAAAGGGTCTTGGATCCATTCTTGTTAAGTCTAGGTTTTCATATCCAATATATATTTGTTTCATATGTAATTTTTTTTTTTTTTTTGATTATGGGAGGAGGCAGGAAACTTGGGAAGTGGGACCAATATGTTCCCAACATCTGCCTGCCCAAATAACTTTCAAATCCATCTTGTCAGGTTCAACCAGGCTCCACAGCAGCGTGTCACAGAGTTAAGCTTTCTATAAGCAACATTTTGGTAGGTAGGGGGAAAAGAGGCAGTCCAGATTATTCCCTTGTTGGGAAAGAGGCTCAAGCATGAGCACAGCGGCTGTAAGTTGGTTCTAGCGAGCTGTCAGACCATCGGAATGTTTGGAGCAGGGAAGCAAACCTTTGTGTACCGTAGTGAGCAGCTGTGTCTGCAAACAGAAGGGTTTGGTTCTGAGTAGCCAGTGTGAATGTGGTTTACTGAGTATGTGATTTACTGCATATGTGGGTTACATTTTCGGGGGACTAACTGTGGTCTGGTTCTACTGACTGAATTCTTGTTAAGACTATATATTTGAATTTAGTGTGATCCAAAGCAGATCTGGTTTGTCTAGGTTGCTCTCCAAAGCAACCCAAGGCACAGTAAGTGAGGATGGGTAGAAGGATCACTTCAAAACGTGCTCCTGATCTGAGCTGAGTGCACTGATTTAGGTACACCAGCTTGTTGCCACTCATGAGGAATGTATGAAGGGGAAGTGCTCGGGGGAACTTGAAATAAAAGGAATTGGATGTATTGCTGTTGTCAAGAATAGAATTTGGGGATGTTAAGAAGAGAGGTGATGTTGCTCTGGAATAATGGCAGGGATAATGCCAATATGTAGAAATAAGACACATCTCGTGAGGAAGTGAAGTTTCCATAAATTTGTTCTCCCCTCCACAAGAGAGTGCCATTCAAGTTTGCATATGGTCACTTGGTGCAAATTTTATTTATTTATTTACTTGCTTATTTTTAAAGCGGCATAGTCATATACCCAAATACAGATACCTTTCTTTGTACAAGTTATTGGCAATTGCAGATTTTTGACTTGGGATTCTTTTGAGCTTCCAAGTATTTTATGATATGCAAGGAATACTTGAATGGATCTATTGCATGGGTTCTCAAGTGGTAGTATTTTTATGAAGTGATGGGATTCTGCATCTCTAAAATGGTAACAGAACTGAGCTCATCATGATTTGAGACTGCTCAGATAAACAACTCCTCCAAGTTGCTCCTCAAACAAGAGGAGTAACTTGGGTTTGTGTGGAAATGCTAATTTGGTGGTGTTTAACCGAGGCTATATAGTGCTGCTGGCAGGAGAGAGGAGTACCCAGTTTCCATTTGTTTCCGTGGAAGTTAATGTTGATTAATAGCTCACTCAAAGCCGGAAACAAGTGAGCTGGATGTAGCAAACTTTATCTGCTGTGATTATGTGTGAAACGAGGCATCCCGAATTTAGTTCAGATGGATTGCTCATTGAGAAAGTCGGGTAAAGAAACTGCTCTGTGGTGCGTGCTGGCCTGTAATGCTGTACGAGCTCCAGGAGCTCAAAATATTTGCCGTTCTTTCTGCTTTTTAAACAGGCACTACTTTGCACTGCCCACCAATCCCGGTGAGCAGTTCTTCATGTTTTGCGCGCTCGCTGCCTGGCTGATCACGAAAGCGGGACGTCCCTTCGAGCAGCCCCAGGAGTGCGATGACCCCAACGCGGTGATATCGAACGTGCTCTCGGAACTGCGGTCCTTTGTAAGTCGTTGAGCAGGCTGTTTTCCCAGGCCTGTGTCAAACATGGGCATCGCCTTCAGAAAGAACTGCAATCACACACTTCCTCCCCTTCCTGCTTTTGTTTGCAAGGACCAGACAGACTTCTCCTATTTATAAGTTTCTACTCTGTTACTTAGTTAATTGGAAGTTTATACAGTCTATACCTACTTGCTAATTTTTTTTAGCACTGCAGAAAACGGTCTTATAATATTATATATGATTCCAATTGCTTTTGTTCTACAAAATGGATTAAACTGGGTTTACTTTTTGTAGTGCCACATATATTGCTCATTTATAGTAGTATAATTTACAGAGATTTTGTCTGGAAAGTTTACACAGTGCATGTGATCCTGCTCCTGCCATAATCAATGGTATAATTCACAGTGAAGGAAATGGTTTAGAATAGTGTTCATGTTTTCTTGTTTTTTTTTGTTAATGAGTAAAAGGTTGTATAAACTGCCAGGAAGTATTGGGATTTTTTTTCAATATTAAAAAAAAAGAAAAAAAACCAACAGTAACAAAGGTCAGGAGAATATATCAACTTACAGGAAGTATGATCTTAGGGAAGATTATACTACAGTGGAGGTGTGAATGATGTTAAGACTATTCTCTAAAGGATTTAAACCATAGCAAACTAATATTTTTATTCTACAGGACAGCAATAAATAAAAATATTTTATAAATAAAATCTGGAGCAAACAAGACAATGTTGAAAAGCTGGTATTTAAGTCTCAGTACTGAAGTTTCTCCATAGCTGTTCTTACCTTGCCAGCTTGTCACTTGTGTGCTTGACCATCCATCTCTCTTGTGGATTCTGACTCATCTGCTCCCTACGAGGATAGTTACCATGTGCTTTAAGATTTCTACACTGCATCTCTTCCTTGGGATATTTTCTTTTCCCTTCTGTTGCCTGACTGGAGCTGCGTAAGGGAAGAATGTGAATTAACATTAATAAAATCTTCATGCACAAGAGACACTTTGGTTTTAGTGTAAAAAAAATCTTATCTCCCTGCGAGGAAACTCGGATCAATGGGCCATTAATAAACAGCACATCTCTTTATTTTAGGGAAGGCCCGTGGATTTTCCTCCCTCAAAATTAAAGTCTGGTTGTGGAGAGCAAGTGTGCTATGTTCTTGATTGTTTAGCTGAAGAAGCCTTGAAACACACTGGCTTTAGCTGGAAAAGGTACAATACACTTTTAAGCATCCTCCCTTATGCATTGTTTTCCAGCAAACAGATGTAAGTTGTAATGGTAAAGACAAAACATAGTAATGAGTAAAAATGTTTTACTTGATGTTTCATGAGATGCAAAATTCAACTAGGCTTGAAGCACTGGGACCAATTAATTCCTAATGCAATTTCACACAACTCAGTCTATTACCAGCAAGCCTGAGTTTGGACCATTAATAGACTTAGCTAATTAAGATTTAACTGATGACCTTTTTTTTGGTCATTTCCCTATGCATAACTCCCTGTTAATCTGACAGTTGAGTTGAAACATTTAATGTCCTTTTAGGTTCTATCAATCAATTCTTAACCTCTTCAACTGGAGGTAGGCACCGTATGATCATGTTACAAGTAGGGTACAGTAGTTTTATTTAATATGAAGGAAATCTTAGGAGAAATTAGATCACGGATAATTTTCAGTGTATGAAACTGTCTTTAAAAGTGTTCTTTATTTCATTCCTTCACTCTGATGGGTTTTGAAATGGATGTAGCAAAGTAGTTTCTACCTCAGAAATATTTTCCTCTTACTTCTGTTTAATACACAGATTCCAATGTGGGCTGAAAATAAGTCTGTGGTGACTTGTGCTTGAATTTTAAGAGGTTAGACCAAAAGAGAAAACCAAAATTTACTCCTCAGATGTCTTTGTAGTATGAATGTACTGTTCTGCCTGGCATAGTAAATAACCCTTACTTTTAAGACAGTCCAAAATAAACAATGCCTTTTAAGGCTGTTAATTTATTTGTTTAAATATGTGAGATGCTAATCACTGTCTCATTATAATCCACACCATCCATACTTCTCATGAAATGTTTTGTTTGTTAAGGAGCAATTTACAGAGGTATTTCCAATTTACTGTGTTTAAAAGCACTGCTGTTCTGTGAATTAATTTCAGGCCAGCATATCCAACAGAAGAGCTAGAAGAAGAAGAAATAACAGAAGATGATGCAGAATTAACACTTAATAAATTGGAAGAGGACGTTGCAGTAGGTTTATGTCATCGCTTTTGATGATACTAGTATTGGTCAGCCATGGGCAAGTTTTTATTCACTGTTCAGTTTGTTTGGCTTTGTTTAAGAAGTCCTTTCTATTAGCTGTTCAGTTTTTTCCCTGTGGCTCCATTCTTGCATCATCAGATTCTCTGTAGTTTTTTGTTGCTTTTCAGATAAGGTTTTTAACTCACAGAGACAGAGCACATCTTCTTATGTGCAGTGGAATCTAACCATGCATTAAAATCACAGAGATTCAGAATTGTTTGTGTTCTACTGATACAAGCTCTTGATGTTAAACAAAACTCC